AGTGGCACAGGAAGGGGGCACCTGCAAAAAAGCTGTAATCATCTGTGGTCCCTGCACTGTACCGAACGTACCGAACTCCGTCCACCCTGCCACAAAGTCTACAGTACCTTGTGCTCTCGTTAAGTTAAAGAACTTCGTACATTTTCAATCTCAGGCCACGACCCTGAGATGGCTTCGTCCCTCTTCATCTTGCCGATTGCACTTGGCCAGACATTCAGATACTCTGGAGACACGTGGTAACAAGCACAAGAAATACTACACCCGCAGACTTCACCTCGGCAAGTGCTTCTTGCAGAAGTCAAAACAATGGTATGAGGCCCAAGCTTCTCCGGAATGACTGGAATGAGTCGGAATGAGTTTGTCCTTGGCCACTGCACCAGCGGAATTCACCTGAACTTCAGCCTTGCAATGCTTACTTAAGCGTACTACTCAGTAGCCAACAAGCAGCGACGCGCGAGTCCAGCGTGCTGGCTACACATCTCATGAACTGCCAGGCCTTCTTGAAGGAGGCATTCGGATCGGTAGAAGCACTGCATGTCCTCCCCGACAGTGAACCAAACAAATGCTCTTCCCAGGCCAAAGACGACACATAGAGGGACGGGAACCAAGGTGGACATGTGCAACACACCTCAAAACTTGCCTTCCTGCAGAGAACAAGATCCACTAGTTTCCGCTGCTTTGCAGAAGGCGAAGGGAGGAAGGTGGAAGAGAGGGCAACCAGAGAGGAACACGCGGAGAGGAACAGCAACAGGAGCAAGAACAAGGCTGCCTAAGGGAGATGGAAAAAACCAGCTGAAGGCGGAGCCCTAGGGACCCCCCTTAAGGGCTCTAGAAGCGCACGGCCCGTGGCACCACATGGTACCGGCACATGCGCACACTTGCGGGCAAGCGACCTTCACTGCACCGTCTGTGTTTGTGTCGGTTGCTGTTGCTGACCTCCGGTCTATGGCCCAGCCATTGAAGACCTTGTCTACTTTGGACGGCCCCGCTAGATAGCCCCCAAAAAAAATCAGCAAAAATCGGATCCCGTCCTTTCTTTCTCCGGGAAGGCAGAAGCTTCGCAAGGCTGCCGTCGTTGGCTGCCGTCGGCAGCGAGGCAGCAGCTTTCTGCTTAGTGCTGGGCTCGGCCGCAGGCACTTTGGCGGCCTCTTCGGCATAAAATGACCCAAAGTGGACTGGACAGAGTTGCGTACAAAACTTTGACAGGCCAGCAGCTGTTCTCCATGGGGGATTAGGCTTACGGGCCTTCGCGGTCCAAGCATTGCAGTTCATGCAATGGACACAGCACCGAGTCTGCTCTTGCGCTTTCCACTCGCCTTCAGAATTCGCCTCGGCTTCCTGCCGAGAAGCGTCTGGAGCAAGCAGACCCGGATCGGGCCTCCTTACCCCTAATCCAACCCTTCCCCCACGCGAACTTTTCTGACGCACCTCCCCCCCCCCCAGCCTGTGGCACCCCGCTCAATCGCTTGGAGGAGCTGCAAACCGATGCCAAGGGGGGACTCCTCTGGAACCCCCTGGCTGCCACGCCCCTGAAAGCGGTCTGGCACCCTGCCACGCCAAAACCCTCCCCGCTTTTCTGACCAGAAACCCTCTTTTCCTGCTTTCCTGTCCGTGGCCCGGCTGCCGAGGCGGTGCGCGCTCAAGCGTTCACAATTAGGACTGTCCGGGCTGGAAAAGGACCAGCTCTCTCTTATGCAGGTGTCCCCGGCCCCCCCTGAAGGCTATCCACGGACAGCCTCTGTGAAGATGCATTCCATTCCATTTTTGCCTCGAGGTAGCGGAGCCCTGCAGAAATGCAGCTCTAGAGCCGCGGGGACCGCATCTGGACAGATGCAAAACCGCATTATGGGGCACTTTTGGGTGCTCGCAATGAAGATGCTCCTGCATCGCGATTCTGGGGGGTCAGGGGAAAGGAAGGAAAAGGAACGGAATGGAGAGGAAGGAACGGAAAGGAACGGAAGGGAAGGGAAGGAAAGGAAAAACGGAAGGGAAAAAAGGGAAGGGAAAAAAAGGAACGGAAGGGAAAAAGAACGGGAAAAAAGAAAAGGAAAAAGACCCCCAGAAATCGCGATGCAGGAGCATTTTCGTCGGAACGCTCACCCCCAAAAGTGCCCCATAATGCGGTTTTGCATCTGTCCAGATGCGGTCCCCGCGGCTCTAGAGCTGCATTTCTGCAGGGCTCCGCTACCTTCACTGCCCTCCGCAACCAGGGACGCTTAGAGGCCCTTCACTGCCCTTCACTGCCCTTCTTATAACAACCCCGCAGCCGCCCGCCGCCAATCAAGGCCGCCCGAAACTCGCGCGCGCCCGCCCGAAACTGCGCCCGACGCTCGAAACTCACCGCTGCCGCCCGAAACGCGCCCGCCCGCACATTTGCAGCTCCGTCTGTTTACCTCATGCTCGCTCGCTCGTCTTGCCCGCGCTTGATGCTCCGGATGCTGATTTTGCAGCGGATTGCTGCCAATCTACTGTCAAATCTGTCAAATCTGTCAAATCTGTCAAATCTGTCAAATCTGTCAAATCTGTCAAATCTGTCAAATCTCTGCATACGTCGCGCTACAGTCTTCAATTGTGCCTTTTGACAGATTTGACAAATTTGACAGCTGTCAAATCTGTCAAATCGCAAAGTTCTCTGCAAACGTCGGCCTGCAGTCTTCAAGAGCATTTGACAAGTTTGACAAATTTGACAACTGTCAAATGGCTGCCAGCGGCAGCCACCTCCCCCGTCCCGCCCCTAAAAACTGTCACCTCTCTCTTATGCAGGTGTCCCCGGCCCCCCCTGAAGGCTATCCACGGACAGCCTCTGTGAAGATGCATTCCATTCCATTTTTGCCTCGAGGTAGCGGAGCCCTGCAGAAATGCAGCTCTAGAGCCGCGGGGACCGCATCTGGACAGATGCAAAACCGCATTATGGGGCACTTTTGGGTGCTCGCATCCTGCATCGCGATTCTGGGGGGTCAGGGGAAAGGAAGGAACGGAATGGAGAGGAAGGAACGGAAAGGAACGGAAGGGAAGGGAAGGAAAGGAAAAACAAAAACGGAAGGGAAAAAAAGGAACGGAAGGGAAAAAGAACGGGAAAAAAGAAAAGGAAAAAGACCCCCAGAAATCGCGATGCAGGAGCATTTTCGTTGGAACGCTCACCCCCAAAAGTGCCCCATAATGCGGTTTTGCATCTGTCCAGATGCGGTCCCCGCGGCTCTAGAGCTGCATTTCTGCAGGGCTCCGCTACCTCGAGGCAAAAATGGAATGGAATGCATCTTCACAGAGGCTGTCCGTGGATAGCCTTCAGGGGGGGCCGGGGACACCTGCATAAGAGAGAGGTGACAGTTTTTAGGGGCGGGACGGGGGAGGTGGCTGCCGCTGGCAGCCATTTGACAGTTGTCAAATTTGTCAAACTTGTCAAATGCTCTTGAAGACTGCAGGCCGACGTTTGCAGAGAACTTTGCGATTTGACAGATTTGACAGCTGTCAAATTTGTCAAATCTGTCAAAAGGCACAATTGAAGACTGTAGCGCGACGTATGCAGAGATTTGACAGATTTGACAGATTTGACAGATTTGACAGATTTGACAGATTTGACAGATTTGACAGATTTGACAGTAGATTGGCAGCAATCCGCTGCAAAATCAGCATCCGGAGCATCAAGCGCGGGCAAGACGAGCGAGCGAGCATGAGGTAAACAGACGGAGCTGCAATGAGGTAAACAGACGGAGCTGCAAATGTGCGGGCGGGCGCGTTTCAGGCGGCGGCGGTGAGTTTCGAGCGTCGGGCGCAGTTTCGAGCCGGCGCGCGCGAGTTTGGGGCGGCCTCGGGCGGCTGCGGGGGTGTGAGAAATTCATCACACCCCTGAGCCTTGCAAAAATGATCTATGAAGTGCGCTTGGTGTGCACGGGGTCCATCGATTCCTGCGGAGGTGTTGGGAACCTGAAAAAAGCCCTTTGAAGCATGAGGGATTAGAGGCCCGTCACTCTTTACCCCTTGGGGTGGCCCCCCCGAAGCATGAGGGATTAGAGGCCCGTCACTGCTTATTTGTGGGGACCCCCCGAAGCATGAGGGATTAGAGGCCCGTCACTGCTTACCCCTGGGGAGACCCCCCTGAAGCATGAGGGATTTGAGGCCCGTCACTGCTTACCCCTGGGGGGACCCCCCCCCGAAGCATGAGGGATTAGGGGCCCGTCACTGCTTATCTCTGGGGGGACCCCCGAAGCATAAGGGATTTGAGGCCCGTCACTGTTTACCCCTGGGAGACCCCCCTGAAGCATGAGGGATTTGAGGCCCGTCACTGCTTACCTGGGGACCCCCCCGGAAGCATGAGGGATTAGAGGCCCGTCGCTGCTTACTCTTGGGGGACCCCCCCCAAGCATGAGGGATTAGAGGCCTGTCACTGCTTGCCCCTGGAAGCATGAGGGATTAGAGGCCCGTCACTCTTTACCCCTTGGGGTGGCCCCCCCCGAAGCATGGGATTAGAGGCCCGTCACTGCCCTGGGACCCCTGAAGGGGATTAGAGCCCTCTCATGCCGGGGGTGGGGGCCCTGCGGATTTGACGGATTTGACGGGTTTGACGTGTCAAATGGGGCCTGCCGGGGGGCTGGAAGGCCTGCGGATTAGACGGATTTGACGGGTTTCACGTGTCAAATGGGGGCTGGGCTGGGGGTGGGGGCCGCGGCGCTGTAGGGGCTAGCAGGCTTGACAAATTGGCTTCACAAGGGCTCTACAGGGACACTTGCGCACACAAAGCCCCCAGCCCCCTTACCCACTCAGAGGCTGTGGCAAGCTGTCGGACCTGCTCAAGATGCCGCAGACGTCGAGGGCGAAGAAGGCCTGCCAGCAAGAGGGGCACGGGGCTTCCAGGGGCTGAACTAAATAAACTAACTATAGGCCTTGTTTTTGAGGTCTAAGGGTCCATAGTTACATTTCCTCACGAGTCGGTATCTGAAGCCACCGTAGCAACTGCACAGTCGCTGGTGGAGTGAAACGACCTCATGTCAAACACAGCTATGTCACTGTGTCAACTCATTCAGAGATTTCGTAACTTTGTCCCAATTGACAATGATGGTGGTGAGGCCGCCGAAGAGCAAGGAAAGTGCAGCCAGAGCCCTTAACCCACCCCAGGCCAAAGTGAGTTCTCTCCACTCGGTCCTGTGTGCTGTCAGGAATTCTGCATACTTCTGTGCGTCTCGGGAAAGAAACTCCTGCCACCGCTTTTCGTTCTCCAACTTGAAGTCATGGTACCGCTTTTCGTTCTCCTTTACGTTCTTTTCGTTCTCCTTTACGTTCTCCAGCTTGAAATCATGCCATTGAGCAAGCATTTCCTTGTGCCCATCTACGATCTTCTCGATCTTCTTGTCAAGGTCATCGATCTTCTTTTCGACGAGGTTCTCGATCTTCTTGTCAAGGTCATCGATCTTCTCGATCTTCTTGTCAAGGTCATCGATCTTTTTTTCGAGCTTCTCGATCTTCTGCGCACTGAGATGCCAAAATGCTTTCGATCCGCGTTGCCATGGGCGCTTCAGATGCAGCATATTCTTCAACATGGTTCTTATCTGCAAACAACTTGAATGACAAGACGGCAGTGGCATGAATCATCAACAAATGCACATCTTGTGCTCCAAGCAAATCTGCGAAGTGTATTCAACACACATGCATACACATGTAGCAAATTAGGCCCCTGCTTCCGTGTCTTGCTCAGGCTCAGAGGCTCAGACCCTCCAAAACGAACCCTGAACAGGCTGTCCCTGCACCTCGGCAAGGAAGACCCGGTAGCCCAGCACCAGGCAGGCATCGGCCGGCTCGTCCCACGTGGTGATTCGGGGCGCAGGGCACTCACACGCTTACTGCCTGGCAGCCTCGGAGCCCCAACCGCCTGCCGAGGACAACCCCGAACCTAACCCAAGCACGCTCACTACCTGGCAGCCTCAGAGCCCCAACCGCCTACCAACGACAACCCTGAAGCCTCACCCAAGCACCCAGCGCGTCCACGAGGAAGAAACCTGAAACGGCGAGCTCGGCTCGGGGGTTTCGGCTGGTGCAGGACGCACGCGGTAGGCGCGCCTCGCCGTAAGAAGAAGTAGACGACCGCCCCGGCTCCCCTTAGCATGAATTGTTACGGCTGCACTCAGGCTTGCAAAGTCACCAAGAACTGAAAAAATCATGCAAAAAGTCACGCAAAATCGTGCCAAAAATCATCAGGCACGCCAAGCACAATGCATTTAATCAAGCAAGTCAAACAAAAAACAGGCATAAAATCAAGCAAAAAATCACGCAACCCCCCCCGCTCAAACCCGCCCCCCCCCCCCCGCCGCAGCCGGAAAACGGCCGGGCGCTAGAAGAAAAGCGTGCACTGCAACGGCGACGCCGCGAGCAAACCCCGCACTGCAGCCATGGTGGCCGCGGTGTTGCGAGACAGCCCCCTGGCAGCGGAGAAGCACCCCGAGGACCTCTGGGAGGAGTTCAGCTTCGGAGCCGGGGCATTCCCTCCCCAGCTCCCGGGCACCGCGCGGGCCCGACGCAGGCTTCACCGGGGGCGGCTGGTTACTGATAACCCAGATTGCGGGTCAACGACAAAGTTTCTCATCCTCCGCATTACTTCTTTGGATATCACACAGCGGCACCTGGATGTTCTGCGCCACGGTCGGCAGGCAACAGCCTGCAGGGCGATAGGCCGCCTGCGACACCAGCCAGCACTCCGGAGGTCATGGGCTTGCATGAACTCCGAAGTATGAGAGTATAGTTCACCCCAGGTTTGTGCTTTCGGACACGGTGGCTTTAGCTGCACAAGTTTGAGAATTGTAAACGCTTGCGCGCGCCGCCTCGGCAGCCGGGCCGGCCCCAGGACAGGAAAGGAGGAAAGAGGGTTTCGCAAAAAAAGGGAGAAGGGCAGAGCGGGTGGGGGGGGGGCGGGGTGGGCGGGGGGGGGGCGGGGGGGGGGCGGGGGGGGGGGGCGGGGGGGGGGGCGGGGGGGGGGGCGGGGGCGGGGGGGGGGGCGGGGGGGGGGGGGGGGCGGGGGGGTTGCGGGGGGGGGGGAAGGGTGGGGGGGAGGGCCTCCAAAACAGCGGGACCCTCCACAAGGATCGGGGGGGTCCCACAGGGCGGGGGGGGTGGCGTCAGAAAATTTGGCATGGGGTTAGGGGGAAGGAGGCCCGATCCGGGTCTGCTTGTTCCAGACGCTTCTCGGCAGGAAGCCGAGGCCAACATGCTGGGGATACAGACAGAATGTGAGCCTTTGAGCCGACAACCTTGCAAGTCAGTCATTCTGCAGCCTTTGCTTGGATCGTGTTGTGCATTCCGCAGTTGGCCGTGTCTTCGTCGCATTCGTCGCTCACTCAGGCTTCATGAATGAGTTACAAAGGCTCCGGCAACGCGTTCTCGTGGATTCGGATTTCTCCTGCTTTTGGTACAACATTGCAATCTGGCATCCGGCGGGGGGAGGAACATTGCAACCTTACTGGGGCCATGTGCCAAGACGTGCCGCCCGACAGAAGGCGTAACAAAACCGGCGCGCCCTTTGGGCCTTTGAAAGCTGGACGAGTCTTAGATGGGCTTGTAGGTGCCCTCGCTACCTGACTCATTCGCCAATTTGTGTCGCAAAAGGTTGGAGTGTTGTTCCCTCTTCCAAATCTACAGCTGTATAGGAGGCCAGCTGCACCAGCCCAGCACTCCATAAGACTTCAGAAATCTGCAGTATCGTCATGCTTTTCACAAGTTGGGCTCCTATGCCATCCTGCACCCGACACCCCCCCACTGCGGCGAGGCAGGGTGGTTTCTGGTTGGGTGAAGATTCCCCACCCTCGTCAAGGCGTGCTCAGGAGGCTACTGCTTCGAAGGTGCTGCCGACAACTGCAGAGTCGGCGCCCTGCACGCTGACCTGCCTTGCATTTGACAAGGAAAGGTGTGCCCTTCGCCAGGGCAATGATGCCGCACACCGAGAGGAAGTTTGCGGTCGCCTTTGACAACTTACGGGGGCCATGTGCCAGGACGTTCCGCCCGACAGAAGGGGTAACAAAACCGGCGCGCCCTTTGGTGGGAACGCCTTTGAAAGCTGGACGAGTCTTAACTTAGATGGGCTTGTAGCGTCGTGCCGAAAGCGCGTGCCCACGCTATCTGACTCGTTCGCCAATTTGTGTCGCAAAAGGTTGGACGCACAGAGCGAGTGAAGTGTTTGCTGTGGGGAGCTGCCCTACAAGCCCTGGGGGGCAGCGTCGAGAGGAGCAGGTTGAATATGCAGAGGCCGGATTTGAAGGATGGCTTGCACTGACGGTGGGTGGCCGATGGAGTGCAGGTTACTGACGCACATGGAAGCGGGAGGGTCACTTTGATCGCCATGAATCAAGTCCAACGCCGACACCTGACCTAGCAAGCAGGCCCCGCCCACATGCATTGGTGGGGACTACCGTTGCCCAGCCCATAGGCACATGCAGGCACGAGCATAACTTCACGTTGCTGATTGTTTGCCTTCAACGCGCGTGCACATGGGGGTTGACATTCAGTGTTGCGCCTTTTCTCACATGGAGTGCCTTTTTACAGTGCCGCGCGGGCCGCGCGCAAAGGCGGTGCTGTGCAGCCTCCCGAGTAAGGTTCCAACGGCGTTCACTGGAGATTCGCCCTGCCCAGCAGCCTGTGCAGCCCGCTGGATTCCGGCTTCACAGGCGCAGCTTTGCAACCCGTTTCCTTTCCTTCGTCGAAGCCGCCTCTCTTTGCCGAGGATCGTCTTGGCGGCTCTGGGCTTGCAATGTTCGTTTGAGGTCTTCCGTTTGGCCCTTAACTTCTGCAGCTGTGCAGCTAGATGCCCTGTGCATTGTGTTCCCCTTTTTGCCTGAGCCTAAAGCTCCTGAAGCAAGAAAGGCGCACCTTCAACTTATTTGGTTGTCCTGTCGAGGCGTTCTGCGGGTTCAGGTCCGGACCCCATCACTAAGCCCTCACCGTGTAGATCCGCAGGCCTTGCAGGCCTGGCAGTGCCGGTTTGTTACACACGTGAAGGTGTATGCATACTATGCATACTATGAGTCCCACCTCTGCAAGGGCTTCTGATGCTCGTGATCGATGCCTCCTTACGGCTCTCCTACCGCCCGGCTTGCTTTCCTTCAGCTTCCGGCTTCGCTGGGATGACTTGCCATCTCCAACATCTCGGCTGTTAGAAGTTGTTGCTGACCCCCCATGACATACAAGTGGATAGTGGCACCAAGGGGGTGAGCCCTCAGGAGATCCGGGCCTTCTGCGTGTGGAGGGGCGCCCCCATGTTCTTCGTGAGCTGCAACAGGGGGCGGCTCCTGGACGCCTACCAGCCGATGGAGAAGGAGGCGCGGGCCGTGGCCTTCACGGCGTGGGAGGGCCACGCCTTCTTCTACAAGAACGCCCGCAGCGTCTACCAGTGCGACGACGCGGACCGCCTCTGCCCCAAATTCAGGGCGGAGCGCCGGGAGAGCGCCGTGCCGGAGTTTTCCGAGTGGCGGGAGTGGGACGGGCAGCTGCGCCCCGGGCACTTCTGGACCGCCGATCTTAGGGCGGCGCGGGGGCAGCTCATGGCGCAGGGCCACAGCCCCAAGGTGGCCATGCGCAGCCTCTGTGAGTGGAGCCGCCTCCGGCTGCGGGCTGGCGACGAGGGTGACTGCGTCATCTGCGAGCTGCCGGAGGAGCACGGCGCCCTGCGAGCCTGGATGGAGCGCTTGGGGCTGAAGTACCGCGGGCAGAGGCTGGCCGCCGCCGCCACCGAGGCTCCCCCAGCAAAGAGAGCAGATCCTGCATCCGCAGGGCGGTCTGTGCAATCTCTTCGGCGCCCCCGTTGCTTTACGCACGTGCGAGTTCGACCACGTGGTGCCGGTGCACCAGGCCTTCCGGGGGCAGATCCAGGAGTTCCAGGCGCTGTGTCTGGAGTGCCACCGGCTCAAGACAAGCTTGGAAAACACTCAGGCAACCACGCTGCAGAGCCGCGTCTCGCGGCGGGTCTACGAGGCCTACGCGCAGTCCCCGAGGCTACCGCCCCTTATCTGCGCGCTGCAGAAGTGGAACGCGGAGCGCGTCTGCCATGGGGTGGACGTGGCGCGCTGCCGCAAGAATGGCCTGGCGAATGCCAGGTTCCCCTTGCCCGTCTTCTGCCCCCTGGATTCGCTGCAGGAGGCGAGGGAGGGGCACCTGGCGGACCTCACCTACGTCAGGCTGCGCAGGGACGGCCGGATGGCCCTTCTCAACCGGCTGCCCTACGTGGGCGAGGGCGCCTACATGCTCGAAGCGGGCATCGCCACTTGGGGGGACTTCGTCTACCAGATGCGCACCTCGAACAACCAGCTCGACGGCCACGGCTGCCAATACCGGCAGACCTTCGTGGACGCCGCAGGCAAGACGCACTGAAACCACGTCTGCGTCAGCCAGCTCTTCTCCAATGCCTCCCACCGGCCTGCCTGGGACTTCGTGATGGCCGCCGAGTACTGCGCGGTGGCCCGCATCCGCCAGCACCTGGCCGAGGTGCCCCCGCGGTACCTGAAGTTCCTCAAGACGGACTGCCTCGGCTTCCAGGACCTTCCCAAGAAGTTCTGGCCGGCGGTGCAGCGCCTGGCGCTGCTCAAGCACCCCGACGGCACGCCCG